TATGAGAAGAGAAAAAAACGATGATAAGAAGAAATGAAAGTTCAAATAATAATATTTTATTTTTTTATATTACTTTATTAAAATGATATAGTTTTGAACTTTTTTTTTACTTAATTTTTTGTCTATTTAGTTGATAAACATTAATATTTATATATAAATTATGATAAATGAATAATTTTTTTAAAATTTTTATTAATTTTTTTATGAAATATGCTAACTAGTAAAATGCTTATGAGAAGAGAAAAAAACGATGATAAGAAGAAATGAAAGTTCAAAAAAAAAATTTTTTTGTCAATAATTTAATTAATTACTCTACTGACATTCTTCTTCATTTTTACAAGTTAAGATCGAATTAATATATCATAGTCATTATGTATTCATATTATTCCATTCCCAGGTGCTATATATGTATAGCCGGTGAAGGCATTTTCTGATGCCGGTGAAGGCATTTTCTGATCTCGGTGAGTTCGAGCTCTTGCTTGGTCAACTTCATCTAATTCAATGACTTATCTTCACCAAACAGTTTACTTTTTCCCTTCATGCACATACATAAGTCTCTGCCCTTGTTGTGCCAGGGATAAACTCCAATTAATTGCTGAAACTGCCACAAATATATCTTCAGAAGAAAAACCATGGGGCATCGGTATTCAAAATTTTTAAGGTCAGTTTCCTAACTCATTCTTATCTAAATTTCATGCATTTATTTTTAAGACGGTGTCTCAATTAATAAATTGTAAGTTGAAAATATCAAGTTCAAATTTTGAAATAGTTTACGGAGAGATTTGAAAAAAAAAAAATGAATATCTTTTTTTGTACAATCCGTTCATGTCATGATATATACCAAAAGGATCTAATTTTCATGATTAATTCAATGACATTAATGTTAGTTGATAGATCAAATTAGAAAAGATTAATGATTATATGATTAATATGATTGACATTCAGACCCTATTTTCAGAATTCAAGATGATCCTGATGCACTAGATCATCAGGTCCACACAAATAATTATGAAGAAGGAAGACAAATATACAAACCAGAGTCTACCCCAAAACATGAATCACCAGGAAGGAACCGGCAATCCTTGAGGGCTAAAGTACTTTACAAAGTTTTCCATGAGGACTTTGACAGATTGCACACAAGTATACTTGATCCTCAAGGAACGATCATTCAGCATTGGAGCAAGATCTTCCTAATAGCATGTTTGGTTTCTTTGTTTGTGGACCCTTTATTCTTTTACTTGCCAGTTGTTTCTTCAGATCAAGTCTGCATTCAAACTGGAATGTCCCTTGAACTAATCCTTACAATTATTAGATCAGTTGCTGATGTCTTCTACATAATTAATATTTTTATACGGTTTAGGACAGCATATGTTGCTCCTCCTTCCAGGGTATTTGGGAGAGGAGAGCTTGTTATAGACTCTCGGAAAATTGCTTCCAGATACCTCCGCAGAGGATTCTGTATTGACTTCATTGCTGCCCTGCCCCTTCCTCAGGTATATATATCTAACTAATTTCTCCACACAAATTTGGTCCTTTTACAACATGCATATGCATGTTAAGTGATTTGTTGCTCTGATATGTTTTTTCACATCTTATTTCAGATTTTGATCTGGGTCCTCATTCCCAATCTTCAACGTTCAGCAATAAATGTCAGTACAAATGTGCTCCGCTTTGTAATGATTTTTCAGTTTCTTCCAAAACTCTTCCTTGTATTTCCACTCACAACCCAAGTTGGAAAGGCCATAGGCTTTGTGATTGAAACAGCATGGTTAGGTGCTGCTTATAACCTGCTTCTCTTTTTGTTGGCAAGCCATGTAAGTATTTTAATTAACAAGAAACTTATGTTTAATATTTTTAGATTAGAATAGAACATATCCTGGTTTTCTTAGCCTGCTGATTTCTATACTTCTGATGGAAAAAGGTCATGGGAGCTTGCTGGTATATTCTTTCAATTGAGAGGGAGGAAGCATGCTGGAGAAACGCCTGTGATAATGAAAGGCAAACTTGTCAGTATAACTACTTTGATTGCAAACGGCTTGCAGACCCTGGGAGAAATTCCTGGTTCTTGTCAAGCAATATCACCAATTTATGCACCCCAACTACTAGCTCCTATGCGTTTGGCATATATGGTGATGCAGTGAATAATCAGGTTGTAAGCGCTCACTTTGTAAACAAGTACTTCTACTGCTTTTGGTGGGGTTTAAGAAATTTGAGGTAATTAACTTAAATTTTGAGTTGAAAAGCTTGCTGGTTGCTAGATGAAACAACAACATATATATATCCTTGCCTCTCTATATTCATTCTGAAACATTTTATAGCATTATTTTCCTATTTGATTAATGAGTAATGCACTCTCTCTAAATATATATACAAACTTTTATGCTTGCAGTACTCTGGGACAAAATCTTTCCACAAGCATTTATGTTGGAGAAATAAGTTTCTCCATCCTTATTGGGTGTGTTGGTCTGGTTCTCTTTGCATCACTCATTGGGAATATGCAAGTATGTTTCCTAACCTCTTGATTATTCCTAATTATGCAGTCATCATTATTTCAAGTGTAGCTTGCTAGCTTTCAAGGATAAGGTTCATGAACAAGAGTAGCAAACCTTGAGATACGACTGCTACTCCTATTATCTATAAAAATATATCATTAATTAACCTGTTAGGCTAAATTCTCTATACCATGGCAAGTTACATCTACATTCATCAGCTGGTTTTTAACAATCTTTTATCTCATATTTTTCTGTCAGAGATACCTCCTGTCGACAACTCTTAGGCTAGAAGAATGGAGGATCAAGAGAACTGATACTGAGAAATGGATGCATCATAGGCAGCTACCTGAAGTATTAAGGGTTTCTGTTAGAAAATATGATCAGTATAAGTGGCTAGCCACTCGAGGAGTTGATGAAGAAGCCCTTCTCAGCACTCTTCCCTTGGAACTCCAGAGAGACATCAAACGCCACCTATGTCTAGATCTTGTTCGTCGAGTAAGTCACCAAAGATCCAATATTCTGATTCAGCTAGCTAGCTCCTTAGCTTGAGTAATTAAGAAATGCACATAATTGAATCCATCAATGGAATGGACAGGTACCATTGTTTGAGCAGATGGATGAAAGAATGCTAGATGCAATATGTGAGAGGCTTAGACCGGCCCTGTGCACTGAGGGAACATTACTTGTCCGAGAAGGTGACCTTGTGAATGTTGTGCTCTTTATAGTCCGTGGCTACCTTAATTGCTACACAACAAATAGTGGAGACATCTCTAGATTCTCCAATATTCCATGCCTGATTGGCCCTGGTAACTTCTGCGGCGAGGAACTTCTGACATGGGCCTTGGAAACAGATCCAAGCATCATCCTCCCTTCCTCCACTCGCACAATCAAAGCAATAGCCGAAGTAGAAGGGTTTGCTCTAAGAGCAGAAGACTTGAAGTTTGTGGTATCACAGTTCAGGAAAAAACATAGCAAGCAACTAAGGCACAACTTCAGGTTCCATTCCCACCAGTGGAGAACATGGGCTGCAAACTACATTCAAGCAGCCTGGCGTCGGTACAAGAAACGAAAGGAATCAGCAGATAATGCAGCTAAAGCCATGGAGAAGCTCAAGGCTAGTGAAGGTGAAGCAGGGTCAGCCATGCTTAAAGCAATAATAAAAGCTAGTTCAAGGTTTGGTGTTAATTTGAGTTTCAAGGGAGAGCCAGGTGGTGCCAGCGCATTGCAGAAGCCTGCTGAGCCTGATTTCTTCCTAGATGATAACGCCAATTAACACGGCATTTGTTCTATGATTGGAATTAATTGTAGAAATTACTGTTTATCAATTGTAGAAACTACACGGCATATGTCCGGGACCCTTTTCATGCCCAAGTAATAGGAGCTAGGTACTGAGAACACATTTCTTTACCTTTTCATCTTGGTGCATAAAGAGAAAAACTCTTTCAGCACTCATTTTTCTACTCACAAAATTTAAATTTGTAATTATAAAAATTACACGACATGTGTCCTTGACCCTTTGCATGCCCAAGTAATAGGGGCTAGGTGCCCTTGACCCTTTGCATGCCCAAGTAATAGGGGCTAGGTATTAAAAACACATTTCTTGGCTTTTTCATTTTGATGCATAAAGGAAAAAACTCTTTCAGTACTTATTTTTCTACTCATAAAACTTAAATTCATGATTTTATTTAAAGAGAATCAAACTTTAGATTTTGTTTAAAGAAATTTAAACTCATTTCACTCGAAGTAACAATTCATTAGTACGTATAATACTTATAATATTGTATAGAGTTGTTAATTTATAATTTTTTTTTTGAACATGCTGTTAATTTATAATTATAAATATATTATTAAATAAGTTTATATAAAAATTATTTTATAATTTAAATTATATTAAATTATAAAATATGAATTCTTAAATAAAAAATAAGTATTTTGATATGATGAGTTTTTTATTTAAAAATAAAATAATTTAATATAATTTAAAGCATAAAATAATAAATTTTAAATACATCTAAAAAATATTATAGATGAACTTTTAAAAAAATACAAATTACAATTCGGAAGATTGAAGGAAAGAAATTTTTTAAAGTATTGGTAGGACTCCAAACCTTATTATCTAATTCATATACTTTAAAAAATGAACTATTAAATAAAAAAAATACATCATATAAATCATAATCATATATTTATAATAACATAAAATATAGTAATTATATCATTCATAACATCACATGTGATGATTATATTATTTTTTAGTTTTTATTTCAGAGTACGAGAAGGGAAAGGAAAAAGATGCTTCTAAGATTTTCAGATATAAACCAATCCGTACTGCATGAAAACGAGTCAAGATTCTATTGGAAATTGTTTTTTAAACTCAACTAAAAATGTAGTCAAACTTCCTCCGATCTCAAAAATAAAAACAAAAAAAATATTTCATGTATAATAAAAATTTTGATTTATGTTAAAATTCAAGTTTTTTTAGAGGCAATTGTAATATATATTTTTTAAAAATTTCTCTTGTTCAAAAATAAAAAATAAAAAATAAAAAATAAAAAATATAATCTATTTTTATGCATATCTATGTATATATTTTAAGTATTAATGAAGGAAGAAATCCTAACGTATTATATTACGGTATTTTCATAAAAATATTATTAAATAAGATACATGAATAAATTAAATCTTTAAATTCAATAATTCATTTCAAAACTTTAAATACTCAAATATAATTGATTAAAAATTTAACTTTCATCTACGATTTGAAAAAAATCCCTTCTCCAAATTTCTCATGTTAAAAAAAAAAAAAAAGCATGAACAAAGCAAAGTCCTTGCCTTTTTCTTTATTTCTTCTTCTTTTTTTTTCCTTTTTTCTTTTCTTTTCTGATTTTCCCATGTTTTGTTTTTTTTTATTTCCCGTCCGATATCCAGAGCTTCATCTCTACTAATCGAACCCGACCCACGTCACGCACCTAAAAATGGTGTGCGAGTCTCCCAGCTAAGCTTGCTGCGTACACAAGTTCTCAAACTTGAGAACTTACTTAAATTAAAACAAGCAGCTTACCACTTAATCCAACCCCTCCTTGTTCCTATGTTTTGTTTGTCCAGAGCCTTTGGACAGACCCATATTGCTCTGTCTCTTTGCCTTTTAAAGATTCATCTTCTTACTACCACTTGGTTTGAGCTTTTAAGTTTCAATTTTCAATCTTTTCTGTCATTTTCCTCACAAGTTATTTGGTTTTTGGATCACTCAACTTTTAAAATCTCATTATTGTTATTTTTTTCTGGGGTGACAATGACACGATTAGTTTGTTCCAACAATGGAAACTTTCCCATCAGCTTTCGATTTCAAGACTTGTTCTACAATAAAATTAAAAAAAAAAAAATGCTTCTTTGCCTCGTTGGGTTTGTTTCTTTTCCATTTTGGAAATTAAGAGAAAGATTGGTTTCATGATATAGTAAGATCTCTCTCCTTTTCGGTTTGTGTAGATCCCCTGTTTGATGGAATTCCTATGAGGAAGAAGCAATGCTTATCCATTCGTCATTGTTTAATTGATTTTTCTCTATCTCAAGATGCTGAGAGCCTCCTTTGATTCAGCCTATAAGGTCAATTTGTCTGATTCTGGCAGACTCAACTTTCCAGAAGGATCATGCGTTTGTACTTTGTAGCAGTTCTTTTGCTTCCACGGTAGGGAATCAAATGTTTCAGATTTCTCGTTTATAATATGTTTTTGCTTCAATTGACACTGACACCAAACGGAAAAAGTTTGCTGCTTTTATAAGGTGGAGATTTGATAAAGAAATTGCTCACGTGTTTGGACCTAAAAAGGTGGGATGGATGGTCCTAGAAGCTTCATGCTCATGTTGAGATGTCTTTATTGTCATCTGTTCACATGATTCCTGGAGGGGAACCCATGGAAGATCTTTTCTGCTCTCTGGTTGTGAATTTTGCTCTCTTCTCTTGTCAACTTCATCCAATGCGTGGCTTGAAATCTACAGACAGTTTATTTATAAGTCGTCTTCTTTTACTCTACAGATCAAATCCAATAACTGAAGCTTCAGCAAAATCATGGGGTATGGTAATTCAAAATCTGTAAGGTATGTCCCTTTTCCCTTGTTCTTAATTTCCTATGGGATCTTTGCTTATATGATTTTCATTTTGTTGACATTCATAAGCATTGGTTTTGTTGTAGAGTTTGAATTAATGGTTCAAATTATCAGAGAAATGATCATGATGTAGCATTAGCAGCTATTGGTTTTAACATCGAGAAACAAATTTCAGATTTCAAGATGATCCTGAAGTAGCAAAGGTCCCTACTATTAATGGAGATGAAATCCTCAAGCTTAAATTTAATATTGATGGAACACAAATACCAAAGGGTAGCGGCCAGAAGAGGGAGGAGTTGTCTGGGAGGACTGGAAATTTCTTGAAAGCTAAAGTATTGTCCAGAGTTTTCTCTGAGGACTTTGAAGGCGTGAAGAAGATTTTGGATCCTCGAGGACCAATAATTCGAAGATGGAACAAAATCTTCCTAGCAGCATGCTTGGTTTCTTTGTTTGTTGACCCTCTTTTCTTCTACTTACCTGAAGTCAGGGATGAAGCCTGCATTCATATTGGAATACTGCTAAAAGTAATACTTACTATTGTTAGATCCTTGGCTGATATCTTCTACATAGTTCAGATTTTCATTCGTTTTCAAACAGCTTACGTTGCTCCTCCTTCTCGTGTATTTGGGAGGGGAGAGCTTGTTATAGATTCCAGGAAGATTGCTTCAAGGTACCTTAATAAAGTCTTCTGGATTGACCTCATTGCTGCCTTACCCCTTCCTCAGGTATGCCTAATTCAATGAAATCTAAGCCCCTTTAAACAGCATTACAATGATCCATGGCTCTTTTTATGGCATTTATCTCCATTACTCCATTTCAGGTATTGATTTGGATTGTCATTCCGAATCTGAGAGGCTCAACAATGGCCAACACGAAAAACGTGCTTAGGTTCATTATCATTTTTCAGTACCTCCCTAGACTCTTCCTTATATTTCCACTTTCATCCAAAATTGTAGAGTCAACGGGTATTGCAATAGAAACAGCATGGGCTGGTGCTGCCTACAACCTGATTCTCTACATGTTGGCAAGCCATGTAAGTACCTGGAAACCTGTTTTTAACTAGTTTTTTCTTGAGAAATTCATCCTCCTTAGTTCAACTTTTCCTATAAAGGTTTTAGGAGCTACCTGGTATCTACTGTCGGTAGAGAGACAGGAAGCATGCTGGAGAAGTGCTTGTGATATTGAGAGACCATTTTGTCAACATAAATACTTTGATTGCCATTCGCTTAAAGACTCTAGTAGAACTTCCTGGTTCAAGTCAAGCAATATTACAAATCTCTGTGATCCAAATGACAACTTTTATCAGTTTGGCATATTTGGTGATGCATTGACATTTGATATCACAACCTCACCGTTCTTCAACAAATACTTTTACTGCCTTTGGTGGGGTTTAAGAAACTTGAGGTATGTTGTTTCCTTGAAATCATCATTTTTGAACCAGAATAGAGTGCTGCGTTCTAATGTTCTTTTTTCTGATATGTGCAGTTCCCTGGGACAAACTCTTGCCACAAGTACATCTATTGGGGAAATAATTTTTGCTATCATTATTGCGACTCTTGGTCTAGTTCTCTTTGCATTGCTAATTGGTAATATGCAAGTAAGTCCTCTATTAGGTCTCTAAAAGTCATGGTTTTGCATTCATCTCTTCTGGCTAATTTCCGATTCTGATACCGTATTGTCATTGGCAGACATACCTCCAATCAACAACCGTTAGGCTAGAAGAATGGAGAATCAGGAGAACAGATTCAGAACAATGGATGCGCCACAGACAGCTGCCTCAGGAATTAAAGCAATCTGTTAGAAAATATGATCAGTATAAGTGGGTAGCCACTAGAGGAGTTGATGAAGAAGCCATTCTCCAAGGCCTTCCATTGGACCTCCGGCGTGACATCAAACGCCATCTCTGTCTTGATCTTGTGCGAAGAGTAAGTCTCTAGAGATAATACATTCCTACCTTACCTTACCCCTAAGTCATCTGGTAATCTCTAACCATTACAAGACAAGGCATGATATAGGCTTACGAAGTGTCATTGGGGGAATTAAGTCTTTTCTTGTGCAAATCAAAGTGAAATTGGACAAAATAAGTTTGATATGAAAATATTTTGTCAACTAAACAGGTACCATTGTTTGATCAAATGGATGAAAGAATGCTTGATGCCATCTGTGAGAGGCTTACACCAGCATTGTCCACTGAGGGCACATTCCTTCAACGGGAAGGTGACCCTGTAAATGAGATGCTCTTTATTATCCGAGGTCACCTTGATTCTTACACCACCAATGGTGGCAGGACAGGATTCTTCAACTCATGCCGGATTGGCCCTGGTGACTTCTGTGGTGAGGAACTGCTGACATGGGCATTGGACCCTCGTCAAGGTATCATCCTCCCCTCCTCCACCCGGACAGTCAATGCAATATCCGAAGTAGAAGCATTTGCTCTTAGAGCAGAAGACTTAACATTTGTGGCATCACAATTCAGAAGACTACATAGTAAGCAACTTAGACACAAGTTCAGGTTATACTCACACCAATGGAGAGCATGGGCTGTCTGTTTCATTCAAGCAGCCTGGCGCCGGTTTAAGAAGCGAAAGGAAGCAGATGAGCTCAGAGCCAAGGAGAACCTCCAAGCTGCTGAACATCAACCACCCTCAACCGGTCGAGGCAGGACTATGTATGCAGCAAGGCTAGCAATTAGCAACATCAGGAGGGGTGCTTCACATTCCAGGACTGATTGTGGTGTTGTCAGCCCATTGCGGAAACCGGAAGAACCAGATTTTTCAGTAGATGATGAATGAATTGTTTCATTATTCATTCATCTATATACATTAAAATGTAAAAAAATCTTTATATGAATAAGTGAAGGTTAGAAAATGAAGAAAGAGTTTAGAAATCGTTTGGTTTTAACTGATTTTAATATGTTTATATGGT